ATTGCAACCCCTGGCCCTCATTTCTCGATCGCGACACCACCCGACTATTATCTCCCTTACTATTCCACCGACAACCGCGCCTAGCTTGTCCTAGAACCTCCGTCCCCCCTGCCGAATACGATTCAGAACCGCGGTCACTGCTTCAAGCATTATTCCAGCTGCAGGAATGATTGCTCGATCAGGGACGACCCTATCTTTGTCTCCTGAAAGTGTCACGCCATATAAGAAGAGATCAGAATGTACGAGACCATCGTCAATCATGTCCCTGTCGCCACTTGTGGTCTATGTCCTCGGGGGATGGGTGCGTCTCGTTCCCTTTTTGGGTCGCCCCGGGCGTGGCTGATCAACAACGCAGAATCTGGGTATATCCGCGGACCTAATCCTTCAAGGAGTATTATTCGCGCAATTCTCGCATTACATGACGCTATACAAGAAGGACGTCGTTGCCCTGCGCGTGTTCGCCTCGGTCCTCATTCTGATCACGACGCTCAAGAGCGCACAAGGGCTGTCAGTGTTCCTGCCATACAGACCTTGCATCTACATAACTAATCCCCGACACGAAATCACAGGGCAATTCTGTGGATCCAAAACGTGCACTACTTCACGGACATCGTGGGGGCGGCGGGCATGTTTTATTCCGCATGGCCCTCCGAAATCAACCTCGCCTTCGCCGCGGTTATTGCGTTCTATGTCCAACTGTTTTTTTGCCAGCGTCTTTGGGTGAGCGGCCCTGTCCTCTCTCTCTCTCTCTCTCTCTCCCCTGCACACTGGCATCCTGATGCCGAACAACACAGGCGATATCAAGGAACATTTACGTTGTCACGTCAATCATTGCGCTGTTTGTTTTTGCACTGTTGGCTTCCATCGTCGCGGTGCGTCCATTTTGCTTACCATGGGACGTGTAATTTATGCCTCTATTTGTGCAGAGCGCATTCAACTTTAAGAACGATTCGCGGAACTCTATCTGGAGTACGTTATTTCACCCCTTATACTTACCCGTTCTGTATTTGATGGATTGTCTCCTCAGTCGCGGTTCACTTGGGAACCGTGTTCGCCGGGGATCTTCTTCTATGCGGGAGCACTGTGTTCTTCCTCACGGTGCGCCAACCCATTTAACTCACGCGCCCCAACATCTAAGAAGCCCCCAGAACCACTCCAAGCAAGCCCTCCCACAAACAGCGGGAATGTTGAACGCGATCCTCAAGTTGACCTTCCAGGTACTTTTTTATTGGCATCCCGCTCCTTCCACCGTAACCCTCCGTTCCTGCACCTAGTCGGCGGCCCCCGCGGCCCTCTGCGCGCTCATCAATCTCATCTGCTCGCAATCTGGCTCCAGGTCCGTGAGCGCCAACGGCTGGAGTATGATCGCGATCATCACGAACAACATCCTGCCGAAGCTGTACGGAATCTCCGCGATGTGGACGCTTAACTCCCGCAAGGACATTCGGCTTGCTCGCTCGGCGGGGCAGACGACGAGCAGCACGGAGGCGACGAGCGGGCGGCGGCGGAACAACGTCGAGCTCGGGCCGCTGTCTGTGTCGGGCCCGCGCGGGGCCATCCAGGTGCGCACCCAGGTGGAGACGGTGCACCACGCAGACGACCTGTTCTCGCCGAAATACCCCACCGACTATGCGAGCGAGCAGGACGAGAGGGCCTCGAAGAATTAGATCGAAAGTGTGCAATATATACATTCTTTTAGTGGGATTTCGGATTGCTGGTCTAAATATGAGGCACTGCACCCGCACGTTCATCCACTCGGCAAATCATCTCGTTCGGTCGAGATCGCAGTCTTCTGAGGCCGGTTCTCTGTGGCCTGCCAGGTATTCGTCTCCACATTCTGGGGATCCCAAGCGTCCAGCGGGAGGTCCGCGCCTGCACCTCATGATGAGTCTAGTATATATACACAGAAGTTGATCCTTCGTCCTCGTGAGTTGAACTGCAAATTTCGCCAGGTTAACCAGTCCTAAGATTGAGAGCAAGGCCCGGTGGCGGATGGTCCGCGCCTGCACATAATAAATACATCGGATCAAGTTTACGCAGTAAACGCTCGCCTCGAGCCCTGGTCGTGGTTCTTGAATTATTTTGTCTTGTGCCCCGGTGAGTTGAATTTTAATTTAAGGGGCCTAATCAAGCTTCCAAGCATTAATTGAAGGCCCGGTAGCGGATGGTCCGCCCTGCACTAGATACCATGTTTCCCTACAAACATAAGCAGGAGTTGTTCGTTCAATTCGAGCCCGGACCATGATTGTGTTTCTTCCTATTCTTATCCCTCGGTGACTTTGCGCGGATTTTGGACGGGAGGTGGAGTGTTCTGGTTTGCGGGGTATGGAGAGGAAGCGGATCGGCACGGCGCGATGCGATCCGAGAAGGAGTCGTTGGGGCAATGGTTGAACTGGCAGGTCGTTCCGAGTTGGACGCAATAAACGGGGCTTCCAGGGTGCATAGATTGATATTATATGCGTGAGACATCATGCAAAGCTGTCGTTGAACTGTCCAGAGCTGTTCCCAACTTTCTGATGATTTTCGGTTTGTTTTCGGCAATTGTGTGGCAGTGCTGTATCGCTTTCTGGCTTCCTCGACTGACCGCTCAGACCAGGCCACAGCTGCTACTTGCAGCTTGCTCTGCATAAGCGCCACTGGGTGGCGCTGATGGCTCTTGCACAAACTCTCTAATATATATATATGATATGCCGGACACGCTCGTTCGATTCGAGCCCGGGCCATGAAGTCATCGCGCTGTTCTTTCGTTTTTTCCGTGTTCCTCGGTGAGCTAGATTCCTTTTTGCTGCTCTCACCAAAGTATCAAGGTAGAGAGGAAGACCTGGCGGAGGATGTTCCGCGTCTGCACTGGATAGTGTGTTGTTCCACAATCATAAGTAGCAGATGTTCTTCCGATTCAGGCCAAGGCCATGAAGGGCATGGCCTTTCGGGGGGAGATGGGAGGACAGTAGGAGGGAATGGGGTAGGAGGGAGGGTGGAATGGGATCTGGCGCTGCGGGAACGGCGAGAAGGAGGTATGAGGACGAGTGGGAGCGGGCAGAGTGCAGATATCGGAGTAGGCGGCGGACGGAGCATAGCGAGGCGGGGTCCGTCATATATGTCCATCGTACTTATCAGCTGTATTTCTTCCCCCTGGTCGTGCGCAGGTACAGTACGCTGTTACTATTCACAATCACATCAATTCTTTTTAGTTCTGCATTTTTCGCCCGAGAACGTGCCCGGCACCTCCACGTTCGGGTTGAGTCTTGACCGCTGGATACATGTAGGATAGGAATGGATCGTCTCTGGGTGCGAGGGGACAGGGCATCCGAAATACGGAGGACCTTCGAGGGTTCAGGTCGTACAAGACCGGCTCTTTGAAGACGCCATGACGGTAACGTATACTGGATGCGCGAGACTGGGACTGGACTCAAGGAATCAAGATGAGACAAAGGGCGTTGGGCGTTGTTCCTCCACATTCGCCGTGGGCCGTACAGTTCAACTGCGACTCTGCGACATGCAAGGGAATAGAATACGAGATATCGATTCACAACCGAGGAGAATACAATGTGCAGCTCTCGTCTCCTCCAGTGGTAGAGTGCGCACGGCAGCTGATCCCAGGACGTCCGTCTTGCCTCGGAATTGGCGTACAGAGCCTTGGACGACGCGCACGCACACTCCGCACCTGCACTGAACATATTGCCCTACAAACATAAGCAGGAGTTGTAGCCGTCTAGAGTCGCTGCATCCGTGTTTGGCCCCGACTTCATTAGCAGTGCGGTACGCTTGAGGGAAAATCCTTCCACCTTCCACCTTCCACCGCGATTGTAGCATGGAATGGTAAAGAGCGTAATCGATGTAGCCTGAACTGAGGCCAACCCTGACGTACGACATAAATTCCGGAGAAGTGTGGAGACAGTGCTGCGTCTCCACCGGGGTTGTGAATGATAAGCCGTGAGATCAAGGTGTCGGCGAAGTCGTTGGGCGTCGTGTCGCTCGCAAGTTCGGTGATATCATGGATGGGTATGTCCGCAGGATCTGGGTAGTCGTGGTGGCGCTGGGGAACGCTCAGAGGGAGAGTTTTTGCAGGATACAACCAGAACTTTCGACAAAAGCGTTGAGGTGCCGCAAAGTCTTTAGATGGCCGTCTCTCTGGAGAAAGATAGTGATTTCTTGCAAGGCTGGTGCCTTGAGGCACTGTAAGGCGTTTGTATTCCTCACGTAGAGAGAGCGGAGACGTAACAATTCAATGATTACACTGGAATTCGGCCAGGGGTCGTTGACTGGTATGTCAACCCGAGTATGGACAAGGTTCGGGGCAAATTTTAGAATGCTTCATATCCCAGGTACCAACGAGGTAATAGTAGCTGAGCTGGTGCGCGGGAAGAAGCAGCGAAACAGAAGGGTTTGGGGTGAAGATGTCGACCAGAGTGGTGAGAGTATCGCTTGATTCTGCGCACGGTATCTGGCCAGCAAGGTCTGCTTCTCCAACTGCTTCAGCCGATCTCAGAGTCGTGATATCTCGATTTCCAGAGATGCCAGATGAGCATCGGTTTTCGAGACGACCGTCTGCATAAAGACGATATCATTTGGTTGTCAAAAACCTGTGGTGGCGTGTTCCAAGAGCAATATCCGGAGCGAGTTCTGCTGCTCGCGAGTCTCCACCTTCAACAGTGCCGCAGTTAGTGCACTTAGCAGCGCTCATCTAGAAGGGGGATGAAGACAGGACATGAGTGGAAGTCATGCAAGACAGAACATGCCCCCTTACGCTGTCCAAAAGTCGCGGGGATGGTGGTGAACAAGGAAGACGCTGAATGATCCGAATCGCGATCGCAAACACTCGAGATCGGTCCGAAGCTCCGAACTGGGGCCTGACTAAAAGAATGGCAACGCCTCGGAGTGCCAGAACTGACTATCTGTTAATCATGCGGGTTCGTGGAGGTGTTGTAGAGGGTGGATGATTATTAAGATGTACTCCAATGCCGGCCCACATCAAGCATATCCCACCAAATCCACTCATCGGCGTCATAGCTCAGAGTTGGGAAAGCAGCAGACTGAAGTGGTTCGGTGTCATCTGAATGTTCGGTGTTAGCTGAAGGTCCGGTGCTCAAGCCACCGTGATGCCGTGACCTTTCTTTTGCTCTTTTTCTTTCCTTGTGAGAACAGCAGGGCCCAACGCGTACCCAGATGAATATAAAAGATCATATCAATGTGCTTCACCTGAAATGCGCACCAGTTTGAAAAGAGCGCGCAAGACATTCATTGGCTTGCAAGAATTATCCTTGAATGATGTCACGAGAAACTCATTTGCACCTGTACACGCTCCGGCCAGATGCCTCATGACCCCCGATTTCTTCCCAGATGATGTAAAATTGTAAAATTCAAGAGGACGACCTGGATTCATAGAATACGTTACGCGCTAAGCAGACGGTAACCTCAGGCTATTTGCTGAATCTTTGTGGACGACTGCGGGATGGCAGCCATCTGCTCCCGAATCTTTCTGCTGTCCCGATGGCCAGCACTTTCAACCTTCCCCTTCCACAATTCGCCGATTCGTTCCCAACTGTTGAAGGGCAAGCCGAACTGCACTTGCCGCAGGAGGGGATACGCGAGGCTAAGGGCTGCGAGGGCCTGATGTTGTTGTACAAAAGATAATTCCTCGCCCTTAGGCTGCAGCTCCAGCCGAAGGACTTCAAGATTGGGTGGCAGACTAAGCTGGCCGGCGAAGATCCAGCGTAAGATATTCTGCGGTAACCGTTAGCGATGTTAAAATATGGATATGGCGCGCACATGAATGCCAGTGGAGCCGATTATCTCCGGTTCAGCATATTCCGTCGTAGAGGCCCCTCCTAACAGTGCGAACGCGGTAGGCGCACGATTCGGCTCTTCTGACTCGGTATCGGAGATATCATCCACCGGCGGGTTATCGAATGCGTCATCATCACAGAGGTCGAGCGACCGTTGGTCAACATGAATTGTAGCACAGGGCCGGCCGCCGGAGAGGCTGGGGAATAAAAATCCTCGGTAACCCCTCGGCGAGGATTGTTAGCTCCTTGACTTCAGGGAATAAGCGTGTGATGCCAACTAAAAACTCGGGTGTGGGAGTGATGCCGGGGAGCGCAAGGGAATGAAGAGGATGGGGGCTGCGAGAGATATCTATGCATACGTGCATAAGATAGTTCAAGTTGGCTCCCCAGCCCCGGATGGTCACCCCGCTAACTGGGTGATTGTGTGCGAATAATTGGATGAACTCCGGTGGTCCCGCGAGGGTGTGCAGAAGTGAGATGATATCGCGGTGGACATCGGGAAGAGCGGATTGACGAGAAACGGATTTTATCACCAGGGATTCAAGTTGGGGGCAGCGTTCCAAGAAACGGAACAGTGGGGCGACGTCGAAATCGTGCAAAACATCAATGGATAGATGGACCAGATGAGGGAACTTCGCGTATCCGTATCCGGTCCTCAGGAGAGCCATTTCGCCACTCCAGTAGAGACTGAGGGTGCGAATAGTATCTGGGGACGCTATCTGGAGTGGCTCCTCGCTGGCTTTAGGCACCCGTCGGGATGTTATCTTCAAGCTTCCCAGCCTCAGGAAGCCATCCCAGGCGATGATGTCGCAATGAAAGAGAGTAAGGTCTTCCAAACGCGACAAAGACAGCAATGTGGTTCGGAAGGCAGTGTCGATGGTAAACCGCCGGATATCCAGAGCGGAAAGATTCTGGTAGAGTCCGAGTGTAGTGGAAAAGGTCGAGGCGACCCTGTCCGATATAGTATCGAAGAGGTGAATGTTTTGGATCTCGGGGTGGTAGGGACTGGCGGAGCCATTCATGAAGGCGACCTTCCAGGACCGAACGAATGGCGCGTAGGGACCTTGTATCAATCGATCCAGCCGAACTGCAGTCCGATGCAGATGGCGAACTAGGTCCATCCAGCTATCCTGGCCAAGTCCCCGCCTTAATGCTTCCACGTCGAAGGATTGGCTCCGGAAGACAAGTGGCAGGGAGATAGAGAGTCGAAAGAGCCGGCACACCAACGAGAGTCGACGGAGTTGCTGAAGAGAGCATAGAGTCCAGTATGCTAGCCAGACCTCCACGGGAAGAAGGTGCAGATAGGCGATGGGTGGGTGCATGCTCGTCGTTGTGCAGAGCAGTGAGTTATGGACAGGGCAGTGCCAATGTGTTATCGGTTGCGCTTCAAGTTGCACTGCCTTCAACAGGGAGGTTGCTACATAGAGCACCACGCTCGTTTGATGATCGGCGATTGCCTTATCGGGTGATTGGACTGATGATACCCTCCATTACTAGTAGGGACCATTAGCGATGAGCAGACAGGTCTACCCTGAACGTGGGTTCAGTAGCGCTATACATGTATCGAATAAGGCACATTTGGGTAGTATTAATGCGCAACAAGAGCGCGCCAGGGTGCGTCGCCCCACTTCGCTTCGGAGCGGTCGAGCCGTCGGTGATGTCCGGGCGGAGTTTGAGCTTCGAGTTATGCAGAAAGTTGAACGGGCACGTGCCAATCTCGTCCCGAATTTTAACGCTCGACACGTATTCAACCCGCCGCTGGCGTGTCAACTCCTCTGCAGATTAGCACAACATATGCAACACTACAATATCTCCCAGTCTCGAGCCATTATAAAGGGGCTTCAAACTCGGGATGAGTGCAATATCGTCCTCGCAATTGTCTCGCGCCATCGTTAACAATAAAAGGTCGATATACATAACACATATATATTCACCACATTATTCGAGTAACTGATGGCTGTCCCATTTGGACCTAGAACTCAGCAGCAAGCTCAGCGAAATCTTTGGGTACCAATTCGAAGACCTCATGGTTAGGAGGTGCATAGCACATGCGTCACCGATGCGGGATCAACTCTGGCTTACGAGATACTCATAATTAAACCGGCGATTCGTGTGCGCGCTTGGGGGATCCTTTGATGGCCCAATTTCGTTTACGCCTCCTTCGGGAACCAAAAATTAGGACATAGGCTACTTTTAAGCTTTGAAAGACGCCGCAGACGACCCAAGAAATAGAGCAAAAGAACAAATGCAAGCTAGTGGGCTCGAACATAAACGAGAGAGAAGACAACGGTAACCGGTGCACAAGACAAATATTATGGAAGGCTGTCTTCAATAAGAACCTCATGCCCTCGCTGAGGAGATAACATACTTACTTGGCCGCGGAAGGATTGGTCCGGACTCCGGATAGAGACAGACAGAGAATGAGCCTCGGTCAACCATCGGGCCAGGCAGCAACTGATGCGAGAACGTCGGATCCGCTGGGAGCAAGGTCTATGGACCAGTCCATTAGACCTAAAAATGTACCGACGGATAGACCTAGGTCCATATTATATAATTTTGACTATTTGGACCGTGCCATGGACCTACCGTGACCCGTGTCACCCCGGAGTTCGATCTCGGACTACGCCGCATCTGATGTGAGCCGAATTGGGCGATGGGGACGAATAATTGAACAACACCGCAGGGAAATCGAAATCAAGTATTCCAGCTGTGTTTTCCCTCCCAAATGTCCGTGGGATGAGTGTACCATATTCTCAGATCCACCAAAGCCGATCTAAGGGACTAGACAACTTTTGAGAGTGGCAAATGCGAAGGTGGGCCAGTGAACCGAGTCCGCGATATGTATGTGTCTAGCGTCGGTGGTCTACATCGCGCCGCAAGGCGGAGCCTCAGGCCTGGGCCCTGAGGTCCATATCGAGGTCCACAGAAGATTAGACTCGAAAATGTGACAAGCGTGACAGAACATAGCCAGGTCCATTGCCTGGTCCACCCCGACGTCTACTACTCGCGAGGTCTACGGTCCGAGGTATGAGGTCCGCGGTCCAAGGTCTACTAGACCTACCGCCTAGCGGATCCGACTTTCTGACTGATGCGGTGGTGGTGCGCTTGCGGAGTGACATCAGTCCTACCACCCGATCATCAAACGAGCGTGGTGCTCTGGCTTTCCATAGGTTGCACCCTGACGAATCCAATCAACAACGCCCGTTCTTTGTTGATGCGAAGCCGTGCCAGGCGATGTTCGATTTCAATCATAAACCCTTCTGTATCAGTTCTTCTTCCCATGCACCAACTCACCCGCTATCATCTCGGTGGCACCTGGGATACGCACCAGCGCATTCTGAAATTTGCCCCGGACCTTGTCCAGGCCCGCGTCGACATGACACCCTAGGACCAATTGCCGAATGCCAGTTCTCCGCCGGCTGCAGCGGACGAGGCAAGATATGAATTGAACACCTAACAGACAGTGGGGGAATAAATTAGGCCGCCAGAACTCTTTGCTCGCTAAGTTCATGTCGTGAGTTTAACTCAGCTCCTAGAAATGCCCGATGCTGTGGATAGGAAACATGTGTTTACTGCAAGGTCAGTGCTGTAATCCATATTCGATTTAAGTAGTACTCATGCTGTATAACGCCGCTATCGGGGAAATAATTGAGCGGCGGGGTTGTATTTGCCATCCTCGGACTGCCATTATCGGGCCACCACTTTGGTTGCACTTCTTTAATTTCGCTAACCAGGAAGGATATTAGTTTTATATCAAGACTCAATACCGATCGCCTGGTGTGGCGTGCCCAACTCCGCGGTGTGGCGCATGGCCTCACAAGGTCCGACGCTAAGGGATGATAGACGCGCTGGCCCGGCTAGTCTCGTTACATAACGTCAACTTATGAAATTCAAGTTGAACAAGGAAGGAGGGTTCGATTCCATCGAATGTTTTCGCCATCCGAAAAATACCCCATTCTGAGGAATGCAGCGAACTTTCATTCAAGTACTCAAACTCGGAAGATATCATACACAATTTCATTAATGGAGCCTCGTAACCTGCTTCAATGCAACTGCTTGGCCGCACCCAAATGAGTCTTGAAGAATCCCGCCTTTACCCCTGAATGAGCGGTTTTCTTCTCTTTGGGGGGCGGAGCAACGGGAATACTGGGAGACACGGGAGCGCTCGGACACATGGGAACACTCGGAGGTACGGGCACAGTTGGAGCCACGAGAACACTCGGAGGCCCGGGAACACTCAGAGACGCGGTGAAAGCTGGAACATCGGCAGATGCCGTTCCCTAATGCTGATTCAGTACGCGTATGTGAGTTGTGCAAGG